TCTCTCTCTCTCTCTCTCTCTCTCTCTCTCTCTCTCTCTCTCTCTCTCTCTCTCTCTCTCTCTCTCTCTCTCTCTCTCTCTCTCTCTCTGCTTTGAAGCTTGCGAGTTCTGAACCAGGGACCTCTTGTAGGATTTCAGTTGGCCAAGTTTAGGGTTGGCCTTTCCAGATGGGTAGGCAGACCGGGCAGCTTAGGCTGGGAAGCAGACCTCAAAAGTGACAAGCTGGGAGGCAGCAGTTACAAAATTTCATTCCGGAAGTTTGCTGGAGAAGAAGAAGCAGCATTATATTTTTGATACTGATAGCAGGGAGAGTGGCACAACCATAACCAGGCACTTCTTAGTACAGGCACATCATTTTCCGTTCTGATTGATGGGCCCCCTTGTGGTTTATAAATCAAGTATCCAAGTGTTCATGTTCAATGTCGATTTTTCAACAAGCTTCCAATCAAGCGTAATTTGATGTCGATCAAATGTGGAAGACTGATGATGGATGCAAGTATGTTATCATCCGAAAGTGCAAACAACTTCAGAGATCAGTCTTGCACATGCATGCCATGTAGTTTAACACCAACTAGAACGAGATGGCAAATCAACTTCAACTTCAAAGAATCTCAACCGAAAGAATTGTCTCATAACAAGTTAACAACAAATTTCCCGAATCATGGTAAACCAAGGATCTCAGAGTTCATAGTCTCAGTCTTGACACTCCACAGAGTCAAACCCTTGCACATATGCTCACTGTGAACACACAAACACACACTCCACACGTAGGGTTACACAATTGCGCTCATACTCTAAACTGCATTGCCCACACATGCACTCAAAACCTCTATCAGCAGAACTTAATACACATTGAACCACCACATCACCCAGCTCCTCCTCACTAAGCACCTACGGCTCCACCCGCCATGAGCATACTGACCAGAACGCCGTGCTGCACTGCGCCTCACCTTGGAATCTGCATTGTCAAAAAACTAACTGAATTGTCAGGTGCACCAAGTTTATCGATTGGGCTGCTGCCTGATCGGCCTCGGGTACCCTTGTTATTTGGGTCGGTGCTAAGCCTGAAACTGTTTGCTGGGCTGGTACTGGCAAAGGACAAACCTGCAAAAATAACAAAAAAAATACAAGTTTGCAGAAATGACCCTTAGTCATTTGACTCATTTCATTCCCGACATTTTTGCTGTCTTTTGTACCCAGCAATCACTTTGGGTGCTGATTCAGTTAACTCCTGTTCAGTAGACCATCTGTCCTCATCTGTACATTGTTGGAACACAAACTTGGCCCTGTATTGCTTTGTAGGGCTTCCTCTTCTTCCAGTTCCGAGTTCTGCTTCTTCCTTAATCCTTTTGACATTATACCTACCATCCATATCAGGTGGGATAGAAGAAGCTTGAGAAGGGAAGGAATTGACTGTGATACAGGTAATTACTTGGAAGCATGGAAAACAGCGTAAGTCTTCAGATGAGGTGGGATATCGACGAGGTGCGATACTCCATGCACGCGTCCTACTACCTTCAGTACGTCCCATGGCCCTAGGTATGCAGCTAACAGCTTCTTAGAAATACCTTCTTCGGGGGTGAATTCCTTGGATTTCACCTGGACTAGATTCGGTGCTGATTTATAGCTTCAATCATCTTCTGTTGTTGGTGTCTAATCTTTTCCTCAGCCTGCTTGATAATCTTCTCGTGTACCAGTGCAAATTTCTCTAGTGCCTAGGGCTAGCGTGTATATTTCATCAGAATTCAGCAGATTGATAGAACTATGTGGCTGTAACCCTTTGTGAAGTTCATCCGGTGTCTTCCCTGTAGTTAGGTGCAACGAGTTATTATAGGCCATCATTGCCTTAGGTAGCATTTGATCCTAATTGATCTGATATGGTCTAATGTACATTGTAAGAGTCTGCTGCAACATTTTGTGAATCTGCTCAGCTTGGCCATTGTCTCAGAGTGGCTGCCTGACGACATGGTCAACTTGTGCAGCTGTTCTGACTTCCCTCGGGTAAATCTGGCATCTCTGTCACTAACAATCTTCGAGGCATCTCCATTTTTCTGACACCCAATGCTGAAAGAGCATGTCAGAAACTAAATCAGACTTTGGCTCTGCAGGTAGGGCTATAAGCATAGCATACTTGCTAAATCTGTCTATGATAGTTGTCACCTGTGTGTTTCCTCCCCTACTTCTTACGTGTGTGTCCATGAAGTTAACAGACACAGACTGGCCTGGACCTGTTTCAGCAAGCCTAGTCGTACCTGTGTAACTGTGCGTTTCTCTTACACATAGCGCAACTGTTAATGTAGTCTATCCAATCAAGCTTCATCCCTGTCCACACAAACTTCTGCACCATCAATGCATAGGTCTTCTTGCATCCAAAGTCCCTCTATGTCATAATAATATTAAGAAACTCTGCTTTTCACTTCTTCTACATTAGGCACACATAGTATCTGCACATCTTTTGACAAATGGAAAATCAGACCATTATGAAACTTGTATCCTGGGGCACTTAAGTTAGTACTCGATACCAACGGGCCTAGCTCAGTCGGTACACCCACGAACTTTTGAAATACTGATCCAAGTTCAAATCCAGATACAATCAGATGAACAGAATAAAATAACTCTGAATTACCTAGGGCCTCTCAGTTCAATGATGATATCTCAGGGCCCTTGCCCTTCCGAAACAAAAAAGGGAAAATGAAAGGAGTTGGTACTCAATCGCTAAATAATTTCATTCAAGACTAGATCATTCTCTCGATTTTGCTCAATTTACTCTCTCGGATTGTGTGCAAGATCCAGACTAACAACAATAGCTCCAAAGAAGTCTCCTATCCTACTTAGTGCATCTGCAACCACATTGTGTCTGCCCTCAAGTGACTTCAGCTCAAAGTCAGAGGTGTCAATCAACTGCAACTGCATAACTTGCTTGTCTAAGTTGTCT